TGCTGTGGGTCTGACCCAGCCCTGCTGGCAAGTGCAGGGTGTACAGGACAGCTCTGCCTTCAGACCATGGTGTGCAGCCCCTGTGCTGTGACTGCTGGTCAGTGTCACACACAGACTTCAGCAGATGCTTTCTCCATCCCTACTGTCAGGCTGCTTGGAGAGGCAGAAGTTTATAAATGACAGAAAGATCCTTAGTGAAGAAACAAGAGTTAGCGTTGCAAATAAAGAAAACAAGACAGCTTGTTTCATCTAAACAGAAGGGTTATTAAACAGGCTTGAATTAATCAGCGATCTGCCAGAGCGCTGAAATTGAAAAGCAGGGCAGAATAGAGCAGGAGGAACTGCAATCCTGGGTGACACCCGAGTGCAGAGGGGGAGCTGATGTCCAGCGATGGTGGGACAGGGTTGAGCTGCTGCTGGGTTTTTTAAGGCATCTTAAAGCACTGTCAAAACCGCACGGAGCACCCAGAGGTGCATGCAGGAGGGACAAAGAGGGGCTGCACAAGGTGAGCTCTGTTCCCTAACGGTGCTGATGGAGCAGCTGATTGCTGCTCATGTCAGGTGCTCACATTGAGGCACTCTGAGAGGGATGTGATGGTCCCTGGAGGGTTCTCCAGTGCTGGTGGCTCCTTCCAGCTCCACCTGCTGCAGGTTGCTAACATCAGGGCTGTCCATAGTTCCAAATCCTCAAAACATCACAACAGTGTGTGGATGACAATTCCCTCCAGTTCAATGGTGAATTCCAGCTCTGGGATGCTGGCTCTTACTGCTGGCTGCAGGGAGGTGCAGACTGAGCCCCCCCATGACTTCAATTGCACTGTGCCCAAATGGCTCTGCCCAGTTTGGGACCATCTGATGGAGCCCTGCTGGTGCAATAGGACAACAGGGAAGGTGCAGCCACGGCCAGTGCCCTGGGCAGGGCTGCTTAGGTCTGATTTGCTGGTTATTGCTCACAACCTGAAAATGTGATTCCATTCTGAAGTGGCACTGAGCATCACCCACCCTCTGGTGGGGACGTGGCTGATGCGTGCAGGCAGTGCCATGCTCACAGTCATGACAGTGCTGCAGTCTGAGTGAAATCCATAGCTGTGCAACTGGGGATTCAGCACCGAAGAGCCTCCTTTTAACAAATGCCCCATTTCCTGGTTTACTTAGGTAACAGCACCGTGGCTACTGTGTAAATACATCTGGCTGCCTGGGGGGAGTGTGGGGATAACGAACGCTGCCTTGGCACAGCCAGAGGAGCTCTGTTGCAGGATTTCTGTTTAATGGAGTGGCTGGGGACCCATTAAATGCGAAGCTGGGGCTCTCCATTTGCCTGTGGGGCACTTGGAAGGAGGCCAGCAGATGCTGCTGCCTGCTTTCCTCCTGCAGCTCAGTGACCGCACTGCGATCTCCCCTCGTGTTCCCATGGAACAAACCACAGCCAGAGGTCACCTGGGGGACCAGTGGGCACTGACACCTTCTGTATCGCTTCGGGCAAAACGTTTAAGCATTTGATCTGCTTGCACTTGAGGTCACCCTCCATTACATTCTGTTTTCTTTGGGAATAAAGTCCCTGAATAATCAAACGGAGTTTGAACTGGAAAGAGCTCTGAGATCTCCAACCCCAACCCCATGGTGCCCACTGGCCATGTCCTCATGTGCCTGCATGGTGACCCCACAACTCCCAGGGCAGTTTGTGTCAGTGCATCACCGCTCTTTCAGGGAATCATTTTTTCCTAATATCCAACCTGACCATCTCCTGGCACAACTTAAAGCCATTCCTTCTCATCCTGGAGGCAAGCAAGGTCTTACCCTGCGGTTGGAGATAGCTGTGCCCGTGTTTGCTTGTCACTGTTGTCAGGGGAGAGCGGCTCTGCTCTGCTGAACAATCTCTGCTCAGTTCATGAACACAGACACAGATAGGGGGATCGAAGCACTAACACAGCTCCTTACACACACTTTACTACAGTGGTTTGTGCTTGGTGACTCCCTTTTGATAGCAGAGCATTTCCTTTGATTGAACATGAGTGCCTCTTGCGCGGGAGCACCATTCCCAGCCTGAGAGGGAAGCAGAATGCTCAGAGCACCGCATTCGGGGCCAGGCAGTGAGGCTGGGAGAAGCCAGGGATGCTGCCAGCTCAGCTCCGTCTTACTCTGCTTCTCCTCACCCCAGCAGTGCTAGGATGCTCACTCAGAAGTGAGGTGAGGGGGGGGGGGGGGGGAAGAGGTGGCTCATCCGGTATGCGCTGTGTAAACAAGATCCCACGTCTGCACAGTATGACCGAATTGGGTGCATAATTCATGCAATCGTGTTTGTTATCAGGGAAATGCCTTTTCGTGGCTGAGCTTCGCTCTTCCCCTCCTCTTCCTTGTCCAGGGGCTGGAGGAAGCAATAAGCACAATGCTGTGCTTTGCCCTCTTAACTCTTTCCCTGCACCTACAGGGCGGCTGTGAGCATTGGGGCTGCTGCCCAGCATTGCATGTTGTGCTGGAGGAGCAGCTCAGTGTCTTTCAGCCCTGTTGTTTTGCTATCTCATAGCAAATATAGGGGACATACAGGGGACACCGTGGATAGCAGGGCTGTCCCTCCTATCCCAGCCATTCCGGAGCTGAGCTGTCTGCTGATGCACAGCCTGCTTTTAGTGTTGGTGGGGTCAGAACCTTTTATGAGCAAACAAAAGGCACTAGGAGCCCTCGTCCCTGCTTTGTGTTAGGAAAAATGTAATTACTTCACATCAAACTGTTCAGTCATTGCAGATGGTGTCAAGCAAACAAATGATTGAGTGCTGCCTGGGCTCAAAGTGCACGGGGCTGCTGCACCAAATGTCCTGAATATTGGGTCTTCACAGGACATAAATCACTGCAACAGCTTCAATGGTTGGAAACGTTTCCCAGGAACATTCCTGGTCGGCTCCAGGAGGGCTGAGAGCAGACGTGTGTGCTCTCACTTGGCACAAAGTGGGCAAACTCCACTTCTTTCTCTCTTTTTTTCTCTGGAAGGAGGAGATAGATGGAGCCTATGTGAAGAGATAGGGGCAGCTGGTGCCCCAACAGCTAGCAGCATCGTGCAGGAGGGCAGCTGCTGCACTCGTAGCACCCAAATCGTTCCTTTGAGCCCTCATTTTCCATAAGAGAATCTCTTTTTCTTTTTTTGTATGTGCTTTAATTTCCCCCTTTTTTTTTTTTCTTTTTCATGTGCATAAAATGCCACAAATGACAAAGCGTGGGGCTGCAGTTGAGTGACAGCTGCAATAAGTGGAGCCCTGCTGCACTGAGATGGAATGAGCCGGGTTCCTTCCCCCCTCAATGGGAGCCGTGGCCATTTGAATAATAATATTATGGCCTCCATTAGGATGACAGTGGGGGAAAAAAATCAGCTCAGACCTGTGATTATTCCTTCAATCTAATAATTATTTAAATACCAGATAACTCCTTTCAGCCTAATTGAGGCCTTTCAGCTGCTCGGGTTTATGTTGTAGCCCTGAATTTACTCTCTCTTTCATTTATTTATTTATTTTTTTTACCTTGTGTTACCAATAGCTTCAGATTGCTTTTAAAACCGTGTTTTAAACTCACTTCCAAGAAAAAAAAAACAAAACAACCTCAGCAGAAAAGCAGTTGTGTTGTGCACTGAGCCCTGCAGTGGGATCTCCTGGTTCTGGGCAGCATTTCCTTTGCTGAGCTCCCCGTGCATCCCAGAACCCCATAACCTAGAACCCACTGCCCTGAGCATCAGAGCACTGCCTTCTCTGAGCTGGCAGAGAGGAGCTGCTGCCCGCCAGAGGTGGAAATGAAGCTGGAAAACAGAAGCAGCAGACGGTGAAACGTATCCCTGAGCAGAATGAGAAACCCATTATCGTGCTCCTGCGCTGTCTTGTCAGTGACACGGAGATGTGCAGCCCAGGGACAGAGCTCCTTTGTCACCTCTCACAACACCCGTCTCCAGCTCCAGGCGTTAACAAGCCTAAAGAGTGGCTGCGTGCTGACACCCGCTTATGAGCGCGGTGTAGGTTTCCAGCAGCATGAATTATTTTAAATACCAAAACTGAGATCAGCATCAATCAAAGCGGGGGCTCTGACAGCTGCACGGGGCCAGGAGGAGCCCTTGTCCTGTAGGATTGGTGCCAGGAGGTGCCAGCACGGACACGGCGCTGTCTGCCTGATCTGCATGTGATGGAGGAAGGTGGCTCGTCATCTTCCTCATCCCAGGGCGGTATGAGCCCATGGTGGTATGGGATGGGGGAGAACATCTGCCAGTGAGACTGACTGGGATGGTTCCCATGGTTGTCCAACCATGTCCAACCTGAAAGAAGCGCAGCTTCTTGGGATTAAAGAAAACTTTGTGATAGTTCTCTAAGCGCAATTTGTTGAACGCATCTGTGGTGATGAGCAGGGCTGAGGTGAAGTGCAAGATGGGGTCAGCAGCAGGTTTGGAGGTTTGAGCAGGGTGGCACTGAGGTCCTGCACCCCATGCAGCAATGCTGGCATTGGTGCCACCTACATGGGCACTGCTGGTTTGGGGCAGAGGTAATGGAGGCTGTTGGGGCTTTGGGGTGGGTGCTTGGTGCACTTTTACCTGCATGAGACTTCTTCCTCAGGCTCACACATTAAATCATACAGGGCCTAGAGGTAGAAAACACCTCTTATTTCCTCTGTCGCTTCCAACAACATTCCCTACAGGAGGCATCCTTTCAGCCAAGCCTGCAGATTGATGGCTGTATGGGAACTGCAGGCTTTGTCTTGGCTGGGAGCTGATTATCCTCTCCCGTGGCAGAGTGGTGCCCATTATAACAACCAAACACAGAACACATTAACACGCAGGGGCTGAACCAAGTGGCACAACCTCAAACCTGAACAGTTTGCCAATAAGTTAGGAGACCTGCTTAATTCTTGTTGGGCTTAAGGATGTCCTCGCTTTATCTCAAGGACTGTGTAATTAGAAAGTGTAATTTGAATGGTATCTGCAGGCACACCGGGTCTAATCCTTTGCTCTGTGCGTTTTTTCTCTCCCCCAGAACCATGTGAGGGACGTTGCTGGGGCACAGGTCGGCCATTCCCAGGATGGATCAGAGGAGGACCTGCCCTTGGGCACTGCGCTCCGATGGCGATGGCAGGTCAGCATCTCTGCTCTGCCTCCTCCTGGCGTCGCTCTCCTGGAGTGCATCCAGCAGCACCTCATTCAGCACTTTCCATTCTGAGCACCGGGACTGGACTTTCAACCACCTGACCGTCCACCAGAGCACCGGGGCCGTTTACGTCGGAGCCATCAATAGGGTTTACAAGCTTTCGGGTAACTTGACCATTTTAGTGGCTCACAAAACCGGTCCCGAGGAGGACAACAAATCCTGCTACCCTCCCCTCATCGTGCAGCCCTGCAGTGAGGTGCTGACCCTCACCAACAACGTCAACAAGCTGCTGATCATTGACTACTCCGAGAACCGGCTGCTGGCTTGTGGCAGCCTGTACCAAGGAGTGTGCAAGCTGCTGCGCCTGGACGACCTGTTCATCCTGGTGGAGCCCTCACACAAGAAGGAGCATTACCTGTCCAGTGTCAACAAGACAGGCACCATGTATGGCGTCATCGTGCGCTCCGAGGGCGAGGATGGGAAGCTCTTCATTGGGACAGCGGTGGATGGGAAGCAGGATTATTTCCCCACGCTCTCCAGCCGGAAGCTTCCCCGCGATCCAGAGTCGTCGGCGATGTTGGATTATGAGCTCCACAGTGACTTTGTCTCGTCCCTCATCAAAATCCCCTCGGACACCTTGGCCCTCATCTCGCACTTTGATATCTTCTACATCTACGGCTTTGCCAGTGGCAATTTTGTCTATTTTTTGACTGTCCAACCAGAGACCCCGGAGGGCGTCTCCAACTCTGCCAGTGACCTCTTCTACACATCCCGCATCGTCCGGCTCTGCAAAGATGACCCCAAATTCCACTCCTACGTCTCTCTGCCCTTCGGCTGCGTCAGGGGGGACACGGAGTACCGCCTGCTGCAGGCAGCCTACCTGTCGAAGCCAGGGGATGTGCTGGCCAAATCCCTCAATATCACAGCCCAGGAGGATGTCCTCTTTGCCATTTTCTCCAAGGGACAGAAGCAGTACCATCAGCCGCCGGATGACTCCGCGCTCTGTGTTTTCCCAATTCGTGCTGTCAATGCCCAGATCAAGGACCGGCTGCAGTCTTGCTACCAGGGGGAGGGCAACCTGGAGCTCAACTGGCTGCTGGGGAAGGATGTCCAGTGCACCAAAGCGGTGAGGATGCAGGCAGTTGGCTGTCATAGCCTTTGGTTTTAATGCGTGGCCCTACGGTGCAGAATAGGATCAGTCTATTGGGAGCTATTGGGAATAGGTGAATGGTTGGACTGGATGATCTTTTAGGTCTTTTCCAACCTTGGTGATTCTATGATTCTATGATTCTATGAATCTTTGCCTCAGTTTCCCTAAATAGGGAATGGATGTAGCAATCCTTTTCCTCCTATTGTCCTTTTCCTCCCTGTTGTTATCAGACAGTCAGTGATGGCAGTGAAAGGAGGGACTGCACTGAGGCTGGTGGATAAGGATGAAGGAGTGCTCTCTGTTGGCAGTTTGCTGTTCCCAACCTCAGGCTCTCACCTTTCCCGCAGCAAGAGGCTGATATCAGCAAACTAACGAGATAAATACAAATGACAGTTGAATCTTTCGTGGTTTTTATTCAGATGATTTCTCTAATCTTGATTCACATGCAGATTGTTCTAGGGCTGACTTGAGAATCCCTGGGGCCTTCTTTTGCCAAGCATATTAAGTTTGGCTGCTGAGAGGAGATGAACGTGGGTTAAATGAAATGAAAAAAGGAAAGCGAGAACACTTGCTTGCACATGGGAGAGCCATCCCTTCACAGTTGTGTCTAAGTGTTTGGCAATTCCTGAATGTCCCTTATGGAAAATTAGCAAGAGGACTGCAGTCAGCGTGACGGTGCAGCTCCCTGGCACCATTCTGCTGCATGGGAGAGACCACCATAAAACGCAGGCTCCGCACCTGGGTCAGCCCCTGCTGACCTCACATCCATGCAGATTCCATGTCCCCACCAGCCCCACATCCCCACTCTCCTCAGCTCTCCTGTGCAGGAACCCCAGGGTTGCCCCCTGCTTTGCGCTTCGCTCACGAGAATCTCCTAAAATCTCCTCTTTCCAGCCTGTTCCAATCGATGACAATTTCTGTGGGCTCGACATCAACCAGCCCCTGGGTGGCTCAGTGCCAGTGGATGGTGTGACACTCTTCACCTCCAGCCGGGACCGGATGACTTCTGTTGCTTCATACATCTACAATGGCTACAGCGTGGTGTTCGTGGGGACTAAAAATGGCAAAGTGAAGAAGGTAAGATAATTTCTGTGGCTTTGGAGAGGCGGGATCCGTTTCTCATCAGTGTTACAGCACCTTGTGGTTTTGTTTGGTTTTGCATTTCATCATTCAGTGAACCGTGGTGTGTCTGTGGGGCTGCTGCAGGAACAGTTGGAGCAATAATGGGCTCATGTGGTTAGAGGCAAAAGAGTTGAAGTGACCATCAGCGAACCACGGTCAGAGGTCTCAGAGATATTCTTTCATTTGTGAAAGTTTAATGGGAATCTTGCAGCAGGTTTGACTTGTTTCACCATAATCCTTCTGTGGTTGGTGTGGTAGACTGAGCTTAAGAGGCTTTTGGGTTTGGGTTGCAGAATGTTGAGTCATGGAGTGGGTTAACTTGGCTGCTTTTGGAAACCAAGCCTCAGGGCAAAGCCTTCCTACTTCTCCTTGTCTCCCCAAGACAGCTGGATGATGGATCCCTGGAAGATAACATTCCTCACCCTTTGCATCACAAAAGCTGGGGCTCTTGCCTAGGGCTAAGAAAATCTCCATGTTGTTCTCCTCTCCCAGCAGCAGGAGCTGGGGGCTGCTCGGTGGGCTCTAAGATCCTGGAGTCCAACCACCAGCCTGCTGAGTGTGAGATCTTCAAATGAACCTAAGATGTCAATGACATCATTTGGTGATCCTGCTAAATGCAGTCCCTGCTTCTCTGAGCCAGGGAAAGGGTTAACAAATGTAATCAACAGCAGGTTGTTAATTTTTTGTGTCCTTAAACAGCAGGGAATTTCTTCCTCATCTATCCAGGAAGATACAAGGACAGGCAGATACTACACTTGAATGTCTGCATCATTTTAATTACATCAGTTCATTAATATTCATTCAGCACTTTACAAGTGCTGAGCAGCAGTAAATTAGGAGTCTCCCTGGTGTCTCTCAGTGCAGTGAGGAAGTCTGGAGCGTGGGGGCATGAGCAGAGCCCCTCTTTCCCTGCCCAACCTGGTGCCATGTGGAACACAGGGCTCATCCTGGTGTGGGTGGAGAAAGAATCTTCATCACATTGCAAATAATGCATCTGCTGCTGTGATTCCAGCAAGTCGTGTTGGCCATTGGGTGGTTTCTGGTTGTTGGGTGTTTGCTGAGCGTTGTCGAGTGGTTGCTTGCCACAGCTGGGTGTTTGCCAACCATTGTTGGGGTGGTTGCTGGCCACTGTTGGGTGGTCGTTGGCCATTTTGGGGTGATTGTTGGCCATTTTGGGGTGGTCGTTGGCCATTTTGGGGTGATTGTTGGCCATTTTGGGGTGGTTGTTGGCTATTGCTGGGTGGTTGTTGTCCATTACTGTCCATGTGGTGTTTTGGGCAGCAGGGCAGTTGCCTCATGTAGAGGGAATTAAAGCCACCAGCTTGTGCCTGCACACCAAGCATTTACTTTAGCGTGGCATTAATTATGTAGGATTACAGAAGAAGCATTTTCTGTGGCACAGTTAATTCCTTGTAGTTGTCTGCACTGAAGCCCCAGTCAAACAGCCACCTTTTGATGCAAGTCAGTCTATTCATGCCCATCTACTTTACTCCTGTGGACAGGAGGGGAGCTGAGGAGTGATGCAGGAGTGATCCAAGCTTTACCTGTGGTTTGAGCCAGTAGTAAGCAGGTATTAAAAAAATGAGCTCAGGTCTCCAGTGAGTCCCCTGCAGGCATTCATTGCAGTCAGCCTTTGGTGGCATATGTTAAGATCCCTTCTCCACATGTGCCAGCTGTTGGGACCCTGCTATATCCTGAGCTGGAGCCCTGTTTTATGCTGTGTGGGGCTGGGGATGTTCTGTATCTCGTGGTCCTGTCTGCACTTGTAGTAAATCTATTCCTTTTTGGCATATGGGGTTATCTTTATGTGGGAAGTGGCTTTGCCTCAAACAATGCCACAGTGGAGGTGTTTTAGATCTGGAGAAGCTGCCTGGTTGTCTGCAGGGCTGAGCGTAGTCCCAGAGCTGACACATCACTCAGCCAGCACACGGCGTGCTGAGGGCTATGAAAGTTTCTGTGTCTCTGCCTTCCCCACATGTGAAATGAGGACAGTAAAGATGTGCACCTCTGGAAGTGCCAGAGATTCCCAGATAAATGCCTCCTCTCCTCTCCTGCCTGTCTACCCACGCACCGAACACTGAATGCTGCTTGCATTTATTCCCTCTCCCACAGTTGTTGATTTACTTTGGAAGCAAGCTGGTGGCTCAGCCTGGGATTTCAAAGGAGAGGCTTTTATGTAGCTGCAGGGAAGAAGTCAGGGAGCCAGCTCTGAAATCTTTCAGATTTGCCTGTGCTTTGCCTGTGAGAGTTCATTACCGAAAATATCCTCTTATCTCACTGATGTCCTTCCCATCAGCCGTTCTAATGGGCTGCTGCAGCCCATTCCTCCCAAGGAGGTGGATGCTGAAGGTCCCTGCCAACCCAGGGCCCCTTCACTCCCAGCTCTGTCCCTTCCCCTTGTCTCGCTGTCCCCCCGCAGTCTCTCTCTGCCCAACCAGCCCCAGCAGGGCTGTATCCGAACTGTGGACTGTCAGCAGCTCACACCACGTGGAATGGTGCTTGCACCCCTCTGCCCTTTGCTGCTGCCTGAGGGAAAAGGATGGATCCATTCTGCATGGAAACCCTATGCTGGAGGAGGGATGTTCTCACGCAGCACTGGCTCAGCCATGCTGTCTACCTTGGGTAGGGGATGCTTGGTGCTGTCAGGGGCTGCACCTGCACGTCTGTCCCCACAGCACACGGGATGTGACAGAGCAGCCCTGCTCCATGGCAGCCCTGTGACATTGAGAATTGCTGCGAATGACTGCAGCAGTAGTCTGTAAGTGGTGAAAAGCCAGTGTACTGATAATGCTGTGACCTTCGGATAAGGTGGGTACGTGGGGTTCTGTTCTCTGCAGCCTGGAGGTCTGGTTCTCCTGCAAGGTCTCAGCATCCTGACTGGGGTAAATGGTATCATGTCGAGACATAACTGCTCAGATTAGTGAATTCCTTCAGTAATGCAGTTTTCATCGAGGAAAATTAGAGGAGACATTAACACAACAGTTAACAGCAACTGAGTGCTGGGGGGAGATGTGTCGGCTTGCTTGTTCTGTTTATGGGCTTCATACAATTCCATCAATATTGATGTGTGATGCCTTTGATTTTGACACTAATCATTGCTATGAATTAAATTTGCAGCCATATAATTAGGAGTGCTATTAATAGGGCCTCAAGCTAAGCACTGCTGTGCTAGTTGTCTTCTTCCTGATGGAAAACGGCGTCCACGGAACTCAGCTAATGTGGTCTGCCTGGTGGAGGATGGGACTGATGTGGAAATTGCACTTGTTGCATTTAGGGGTGCAGAGACATGGGAAGGGCAGACTTAGGGGTTTCCTGAGAGCCGTGCTGGAGTTGCTCCAGAACTTTTGAGTTTGCTGTTTTTCTTTTAGAGCGGGAGGGAGCAGGGCTTGCAGGAAGAGTCACCCTCCATTCCCCAAGGCTGAAGGGCTATTGCAAGCCTGGTTTCTATTCTAGCTGCCCTTGTGCAAATCTGTCCCTTTATTTTTCTCCCCCAGTGCTGTTTGGCTCTGTGGCAGCAGGCACAGCACAGTGGCCGGGCTGCCAGCGCCGCTCTCCGCTCAAATCAATCTTGTCTTTCATCCCAAGAGGTGTGCTTCTTATTAGATCTAATAAATCAGTGAAGTGCCCTTCATTCAGCTTGTCAATGGAGGCCATTGTTTGTGATCAAGAATAAATAAATGTCTGTCTCTTCTATGTCTGACCGTGCACAGTCCAAGTGCTGTTTTGCCATCGCGCCGTCTGTGCCTGCGCCAGGCAGAGCCCTGCAGCATTGCTGAGCCTCTCGGGCTGACTGTGCACATGAGGAAAGGCAGCACGGTGATGCTGGTGGTTTTATCCCAGCACTGACCTGCTCCAAAGAACAGCTGGAAGGTTTGGGATGCACTGAGCTGGAGCTGCCTGAGAGCTGCTCTCTGCATGCAGAGGTCGCTTCCACAAAGCAAAGCTCTGCACTTTGCAGCCTTGCAGTTTTGCATGAGAACTCAGGAACGGAGCGCTTGGTGAGTTTGGAGGTGAAGGGGACAGTGACAAACAACTGTCAATTGCTGTTCTGCAGTCCCAGAGCACCCCATCCCCATTGCATTGCTCTCATGCACGGCTTGCAGCATGCAAGGTGACCTGCGAGGAGCTGGGTGGGATCTGTCTGGAGGAAAGGTGCTGCAGGAAGATGTCGAGCTGTGATGCTGTGACTCGTCGTTTCCTTGCTGCATGCACAAATGTGCACATTGCTGGCTGCCCAGTGCTCAGCAAGGCAGAGCCCTGCAGGGCACTGTTGGAGCAAGGGGGAGCAAACTTCTGAGTGCATTGTGGTGTTTTGGCGTGTGAGGGTTTTATTCAGCTTGGCTGATTTAATTTCTTCCATTTGTGGCTATAAAACAGATCTTTCCCAACGAAGCACATGTCTGAACCTGTCCTTATCTGACTTCATTCTACAGATGCTTATCTCATCCTTCAATATACCCTTAATTATCGCTCCTACGTGTATTTTGGAGCACTTCAGGACAAACAGTTGCAGCAGTGTGCAGAGGAGCCCAGAGGCCGTGGGGCTGTTCCAGCCCACAAACCCCACAGCAGCAATGGCAGCAGATGCTCAGTATCACCCCGTGTCCCTGCAGGGGATGGAGCAGCTCTGGAACATCCTTGCTGCCTCTTGGAGGCACGAAATTGGCTCCTCTTCTCCCAGCATCTCTCCTCCAGTTCTGTTATCTGTTGCCTAGCAGAGGGAAATGAAAGAAAGGAGAATTTTGGATGTGTTTTAGAGCTGCTGGAGAGCTGAGGGGCAGGTGTTCAGGAGCTGCTATGTGAAATGGAGCCAGGTGGGCTCAGAGGCAGCTTTAATCCGTTCCTTGGCTCATGAGGTGGTAATGAGAATGCTTCTTTCCAGGCTTGGGCACCTTGAAAAATCAGCTTGAAATGCAGAGTGCAACAATGGCATTTGATTTGTTTCCAAATGGAGT